CCCGCCCCCACACACAGCATCACAAACCAGCGACCTGGTGGCCCCATCCTGGTAAACAACTAAGGCTTCGCTCTGCTTACTTAACGGCGCAAACAGACCAAAAATGGCTCAAGAACAACTCAGAGCCCCAGTGCCGATCAATCTAAGTGATGAAGAAATAGCCAAACTTTCAGATGCACAGTTCAAAACACTGGTGATCAGGATCTTCACAGAACTGGTTGATTTTAGTCACAAATTAGAGAAACATATGGAAGCTCAACTAATTGAAATGAATGGTAATACGAAGGAATAGTAATGGAAAGGAGATTGGGACTCAAATCAATGGAATGGACCAGAAGGAAGAAAAAAATGATCAAACAGAAAAGAATGAAGAAACAAGAATTCAAAAAAATGAGGAGAAGCTTAGGAACCTCCAGGACATCTTTAAACGTTCCAACATTCGAATTATAGGGGTACCAGAAGGGGAAGAGTCACGAGTGGAAACCTTATTTGAACAAATAATAAAAGAGAACTTCCCCATGCTGGCAGAGGGAAATAGACTTCCAGGAAATCCAGGAAGCTCAGAGAGTCCCAAAGAAGTTGGACCCAAGAAGAAACACACCAAGGCACATCATCATTACATTAGCCAAGATTCAAATGAAGGAGAGAATCCTAGAAGCAGCAAGAGCTAAGGGGACAGTCACCTACAAAGGAGTCCCCATCAGACTGTCAGCTGATTTTTCAAAAGAGACCTTACAGGCAAGAAGGGGCTGGAAAGAGGTATTCCAAGTCATGAAATCCAAAGACCTACAACCAAGATTACTCTACCCAGCAAAACTTTCATTTAGAATGGAAGGGCAGATAAAGTGCTTCTCAGATAAGACAAAATTCAAGGAGTTCATCATCACCGAGCCCTTACTATATGAAATGTTAAAGGGACTTACCAAAGAAAAAGAAGATAAAAAAGATGAACAGTGAAAGGACAGCAAACTCACAGTTATTAACAACCACACCTAAAACGAAAGCAAACTAAGAGGACAGCTAGATCAGGAGCAGAACCATAGAAATGAAGATCACATGGAGGGTTAGCAACAGGGGAGTGGGAGGAGGAGAAGGGGGGAGAAGGCACAGAAAATAAGTAGCATAGATGGTAGATAGAAAATAGATAGGGGGGAGGGTAAGAATAGTAGGGGAAATACAGAATCTAAGGAATTTGAGACACGTGTTCATGAACTAAAGGGGGAAATGGTGGGGGAGGGGTATGCAGGGTGGAGGGGAACGGGGGGGAATAGAACAAATGTAATGGCATAATCAATAAAAAAGTTTTAAAAAAAGAAAATAGATAGGGGGAGGGTAAGAATAGTATGGGAAATATATAATCTAAAGAACTTGAGACACATGTTCATGAACTAAAGGGGGGATGGTGGGAGAGGGGTGTGCAGGGTGGAGGGGAACGGAGGGGGGAATAAAACAACTGTAATGGCATAATCAATAAAATAAAACATATATTAAAAATAAAAATAAAAAAATAAAAGTCGAGCTGACAAGATACGCTGAAGGAATGAATATGGGTTTGAGGGAAAGATATGAAGATACTAAAGATAACTATTAAGTGTAGAATCAATAAATACAATCCGTACCTCAGCACGGAGACCTAAATAATAGTGCTCCCAATCTAGTTCTAGCTTCAATGCTCATTAATCCAACTCACTTAGCTAACCTTTCAGTCATACAAACATTCTCACCGTGCATTGAGCATGTCATGCCCTTTCAATCTGTTCCCTCTTTCCAGAATACTCTAAAATTCCTCATTAAAGTTTTACTTATCTCTCAAGACTCAGCTCAAATGTCATCTCTATGACACTTTTCACTAATCTCCTAGACATGATTAGTCACTCCCTTCTCTGGATTCACTGTTTATATCTAGTAGCAGCAGCAGCGGCAGCAGCATCGTTAGAGTAACAGATGTTAACATTTACTGAGAGTTTATGTTTCTGGCACTGTAATAAAACTATTACATATATTACTTTATTTAACCCTATAAAGAATCTTATTAAGTACTATTTCATGCCATTTACAAGAAACAGAGGTATAAAAAGATTAAGTAAGTTCTCAAAGATTACAATACACCTAGTAAGGGCTGAAAGCAGGAATTGAACCAAGGCATTCTGGGAAGTTGGTGGGAATGTAAAATGGTACAGCTGCTCTGTGGAAAATAGTATGGTAGGTCTTCAAATATATAAAAGATAGAATTACCATGTGATCTAGAAATTTCAATTCTGGGTATATATCCAAAGAAACTGAACACAAGATCTCAAAGGTATTATTTGCTCATCCATATTCACAAGAGGTAGAAGTAACCCAAATGTTTATGAATAGGTACAGTATATGCATACAATGTAATATTAATCAGTCTTAAAATGGAAGGAGATTCTAACATGATTTTAAAAGATGAATAGCCTGGCTGGTGTAGCTCAGTGGATTGAGCGTGGGCCTGCGAACCACAGGATCGCGGTTTGATTCCCAGTCAGGGCTGGGTTGCAGCCCTGGGGTGCAGGCTGGTTCCCTGCAGGCCAGTTCCCAGCAGGGGACGCACAAAAGGCAACCATACATTGATGTCTCTCTCCCTCTCTCCTTCCCCCTTCCCCTCTAAAGATAAATAAATAAAATCTTAAAAAAAATCCTCTGTTTAAAAAAAAAAAAGATGAACAAACCTTGAGGACATTATGCTGAATGAAATAAGGCAGTCACAAAAACGCAAACATTGTACTATTCCAATTACATGAAGTATATTATGTAATAATATTTGTATTTTATAAATACAATATATTTATAAAATAAATTCATGAAGAAAGAAAGCAGAATGGGGTTTGCCACCACCTGAGGGGAAAAGGAATGGGCAGTTATTGTTAATGGGTGTAGTTTCAATCTGGTAAGACCGAGAGAGTTCTGGGAATCTGTTGCATGATACTAATATAGTTAACAGTATTGAACTATACCCTTAAAAATGGCTAAGATTTTGTTACGTGTTGGGTTTTTTTTAACCATGATTTAAATATTATTTTTAAAACAACATGGGAAAGTATGTCTTTGAAACAGAGATGGGGAAGACTGAATCTGACTGTGAAGAACCTTAAATGCTAAAACAAAAAAATCAGAAAATATTTAAACCTGGCCCACAGCAGCAAAACATCCTATAAATACCTAGACAGAGCTAAACTCTCAAATGCCATCAAACCTGAGGATCTAAAATAGAAAAGTTTTCTCATTTTGAAATACTATTTTGATTATTAAGACAGAAGTTTTTAAGGCAACTGCACTGCCAAGCTCTTCTAACTTATTCACTGTTTCACAAAATAAGATTTAGCTTCTTACATTCCTAATAAAAATTGATTTTGGAGTATCAGCAAACCCTATATAATTTCTAAAATATTCTTCATTCTGGGAAGCCCTCAGGTTTTGGAAGAAAAATAAAATAAAATAAATCTGAATGTAAAGTTAAACAAGTACTAGCTTTTTAGAGTCAAAAAGTTACTTCATTTCTCTATGCTTAACATGTATCAATTGTTAAACTAGTATAACACCACCTACCTTACTTGGCTGTGATGGGGATTAAATTACATAACATATAAAGAATCAAATATAGTGAGTAGCATAGAGCATAAGCACAATGAATTATGATTTAGGGAAATTTAACATTTTATTTGCAATTTTAGGTTAATTAATTAAAATTAAGGAAAAAATTGAATTTAGGTTTTTGTTAAGCTTTGTAAAGCACACAGGCTTAGTACCTGGGCTTTCAAAGTGACAGACTTTTTGGCATGTGAATCCATGACATGTCAAAAAGGACAAAACTGAGACATTAATGCTAGCAGTTATGCATGTAATAGTGAAAGAGAATTCTGAGGACAGGACTTGTCTGAAAACTGAACCTAAATTAATTTAGAAATTTCATCCAATAACTGAGGAACTGATAGGCTTTCAAAATAAATTTAGAAAGGGTTAAATGTGAATGAACTAATACCCCTTTTTGAATTCCTCCATAGTTACAGTGGGGTAAACATAAGAGACAGCACTGTCACTGCAACAAATCTCATTTTCCTTGGTGTTCTGACATTATGAAAAACATTGCAGTTAACATGTAACAGAAAATAGAAAGTTCTTTTCTTCTCGTTTCTTTTGTACTATTTTGTGAACAATTACAGTGTCAAGACAGAATGTTCAAAAGCACTAAATAGATGGAAAGGTAGAGATTTGTTTCAGGAGAAAGCAGGAATTCAGAGTTTTAAACTATGCTTAATCTTAAACTTGAATTTGTCACAGAATCACATTAAGAGGAAAAAGCTCTGGATATTTTTCTCAGTTAAGATTTTTGTCTAATACTTTGCATGTTGATTAACATTAAGAAGAAAAACCACACACCCTAAATTTATTGGCTGCATTTTTCAACCAAGTCTAAGGTACAGCTGCGTGGTTGCATACGCCCACACACGCGTTTAAGAAAAAGGGCGGGTGGGAGATTTCCAAGTCTCTTGCTGAACTATTTATCATTTAAAAAACAAAATCCATCATGAAATAGAAAACTATGATATATTTAGTTTATCTTATAGGAAACATCACTATTTTCACAGAGTAGAATAGTGAAACTTGTATATTATATATTTCACATATTTTTAGTAAAAATTAATTCTAATTATTTTCTAACTTAAAAGGCTTATATATGTCCTGGCTGGTGTGGCTCAGTGGTTGAGTGCAGGTCTGCAAACCAAAGGGTTGGTGGTTCGATTCCCAGTCAGGGCACAATGCCTGGGTTATGGGCCAGTTCCTCAGTGGGGAGTGTACAAGGGGTAACCATGCATTGATGTTTCTCTCCTACACTTTCTCCCTCCCTTCCCCTCTTTAAATCCTGAAAAAGTTTATATATGACATATACATATATATGCACACATGTGTTATTTAATTTTTTCATTTTTGTACAGAGATATTTAGGAAGTATTAAATGCTATCATTGATAAACTTACGAATCAACATGCAGAACCCTCTGGCCACTTCTTGAACATGCAGCCGCAATGATGGATTCGGGCAAACCTATAAAAATACACACCTATATCATTTAGAATGTAGAAAATATATATATGTAACATAAAATGTTCAATTCATGCCATTGCTGTAAAGAAGAGTTTAACAAAATAAGCTCATCTTTATACTCTAAACTATAATGTGTATATTATTATGTCATTGGATGCTTCTTAAACTACTAATGCTGCAAATTTTATTATGTTTGAGAGATATTTTTTAAAACCAAGTACTTAAATGCTTTTTATCAGCAAATTACTATAAATGAAGAACTGTCAAAATATTGTTCATACAGCACTTCGTTATTAGGAACTCTGCTCACACACTAGCTATCTGACTTTCTCAACTGAACTGAGAGCATGTGTGTACACATTTTAAAGATTAAGAAGAAACTAGGGTAGAAATGTTAACTTGTTACCCAATACTTAAGAAAATTAAAAAGTACTAGAGTTGAGTCCTGACTGGTGTAGCTCAGTGCATTGAGCACCAGCCTGAGAACCAAAGGGTCACTGGTTTGATTACCAGTCAGGGCACATGCCTGGGGTGCAGTCCAGGTCCCCAGTGGGGGCCACGTGTGAAGCAACCACACACTGATGTTTTTCTCCCTGTATTTCTCCTTCCCTTCCCCTCTGAAAATAAATATAATCTTTAAAAAAAGTTCTAGAGTTGAAATTTAAACCCAAATCTAACTCCAAAGCCACAATACCTGGAGAGGAATAGCATACATTCATTTAAGCAATGGCTTAGCTAGTTTAAAAACAGACAGACCATTTACAAGATGCACTATTTTGCTTTCTGGGTAATACAAGTTTGAAAAGAACATTACTGTTCTGGAATCAAATTAGGCCACACCATAAAACTGGTTAGCATAAGTGGAGATATATATTACTAGTCTCACTACCCTCAAAATCAAATGTTACCAAAGATAATGACTTTAGAACTTTAAAAAATCAAGTGTTTATCCAGCTGCTGTGGTTCAATGGATTGAGCACTGGCCTGCAAAGCAAAGAGTCACTGGTAGGATTCCCTGGCCAGGGTTGCATGCCAGGTCCCCAGTAGGGGGAAACCCAGGGCAATCTCACATTGATGTTGCTTTCCTTCTCTTTCTCCATCCCTTCCCTCTCTCTCTAAAAATACATAAATAAAATCTTTTTTAAAAACCAGATCTCAGGTACATCAACTACTTAATACCTTATATGTTGTAAGTTCAAGACTTTCCCATAATTTCTTTTCCTAAGATCTGCCATTTCAATAGAGAATAACTTTTTCCTGTCAGGCACACTAAAAAAGCATGTTTTGAAAGCTTAATACAATTCTATAGTTCTACTACTGACTTTTTCACTGCGATGAAAGCACCCTGATCCTCTTGGATTTTTACCTACCAGACGAGAAATAGCACCACTCTTTTGGCAAGGAATTAAACTATGCACTATGAATCAAGAATGTCACAAAAATGGAACAGTTATCTTCTTTATGTGAAAAGAAATATGCATATGGAAGCAACTGACATAGTCAATCTCTAGTTAGAAACCACATTAAACACAAGCTCCAACTGCATTCACAAAAGACTAGAGTTCCCAGTGGTGAATACTTTGTGGGAATTGCTTGGTTTTGAAAAGAAGGTCTACTCACACATACTATATACGACCATTAAACATCAACTACTAGAAATAAGTCATCATAAAGTTTCAACGTTGAGCCCTGGGTTGTGTAGCTAAGTGGATTGAGCACCGACCTGCAAACCAAAGGGGTTGCCGGTTCAATTCCCAGTGAGGGCACATGTCTGGGTTGTGGGCCAGGTCCCTAGTAGGGGGCGCATGAGAGACAACCACATGATGTTTCTCTCCTCTTTCTCCCTCCCTTCCCCTCTCTCTAACAAAATAAATAAATAAAATATTTTTTTAAATCTTCCATTTTCTGTTATTTAAAAAAAGCTTTGACTTTGACTATAATTCAAAGGAAAAACAGTGAGAATTTGTGGTGTTCAAGGAAACAGGACACAGAAAGAGAAGTTTTCAACAGTTAAGCATACTTCTTCATACAGTTACAATTGCATTGCTCTAATGTCTTTTAATTTTGACTATCTGGACTTTTGACACCTGAAGAAATAACTTCTTATTAATGAAAAGCAACAACTAAGGTACTTGAAAAACTGCTGTGCAGCTTAATTAAAAAGGACAACAGCAAAAAAATATTCAGGAAGTGGAACTAGTATGTTCAGGTGTGTAATAATGACAGCATTAATAGTACATTACCAAACATTAATTAGCACAAGGATTTTACAGTTCACAATGTATATTCACACACATCATCTCATTTATTCATCATTATAACCCTGGGAGGCAGGCAGTATTATCCATGTGAGAAATGGGATGAGAAAGGTTAAATAACTTGCCAAAGATCAAGTAATTCGGTAATTTGCTATCTCCAGTTCAAATTGCTATGGTAAATTCATTCTCTCCAACCTAGACATGAGTCTAAGAATGAAGATGTAAGGGCAGATGGCAACACAATGCAATGCCTATGGTCTCAGGCAGAGAGACCTACACTTGAATCTTAGTTTTTCTGCCTAAGCAGCTGTGTGTCCTCAGACAGATCACCTGACTTCTCTGAGCCTTTGTTTCTTCATCAATGAGAGTACCACCATTCACCTCATAGGATTATTCAGTCATTATTGTACCAAAATTATTCAGGGTACTTGCTCTATAAGCCCTATCTACCTTTATTATTCTTCAAAAGGATATTTTTAAATTACTACATGTCATACAAACACCACTCCATACACCTATTTTTTGCCAGATGCACACTCCAGTGGCAAACAATAATAAAATCACTCTCCTCTATTAGGCCCAAATTAGGCTGTTACTTTGTATAGGCACATACACATGTGGTTAGCATGTGGGTATTTCCACGGCTGGGATCTACGCTGTCAGAAGTCAAGTCTCTGCTGACAGAGCAAAGCCAAGAGTGGATTTCAGTACGCATCATGACTGGAGTCCAAATTACATAAAACCAAAATGACTATCATTTGTGTTTTCCCTCAATACTTCCATCCAGGCATCCCCACAAGTCTATAAAATGGATAGGCTATTCCTATGACAAACAGACCTGTTAACTTCATGCTTAGAAAGATTAAAACAACAGTCTAATAATGCAATTAGTAATATGTTCCTGGCCAAGATTTCGTATTTCTTTCCACCTATTGAATAAACCCTCAGTTCTTGAATGGAGGAGGCCCATGGTCGTTTCTCTGTAAATATTTTTTGAAGGAAAGAAAAGGAGAAAGAAAAAATGGAGAGTGGGGGAAACACATGGAGCAGACTGTGATACGTGGTTAAGGGAAAAAAGCTAAGATTGTGGCCATTCCTAGCCTAAAAGAGCTCAGAGTGTAAAAAACACAAATATAAATTGATTAAAATAATCAATATAATTAAAACTGTTATAGAAACACAATGGACAGAAACATTCCTTCCGTAGAAGGGCCTCATGGAAAACTACAGAGAGCAGTGGACACCAGGTGGATATTTCAGGATCTATAACAACCCAACTGAAGAATGTCAAAGAAGGAAAATGTAGAAGGAAAAAAGACAGTGGAAGGGACTACTCCTGTGTTAAAAGTTGAAGGAAGAGAGAACCAAAAGGTGATGTTCAAAAACAGTGGTTGGACACACTTATTCAACATAGTTGTGGAATGTTGGCCACAATAATCAGACAAGGAGAAGAAACAAAAGGCATCCAAATTGGAAAGGAGAAAGGAAATCTGTCATTGTTCACAGATGACATGATATTGTACACAGAAAAACCTACAGACTCCACCAAAAACTACTAGACCTAATAAAAGAATTCTTCAAAGTAGCATAATATGACATTAATACCCAGAAATCAATGGAATTTTAATACATCAATAATGAGCTATCAGAAAAAGAAACTAATAAACCAATTCCTTTTACTATTGTAACAACAACTAAAAAAAGATACCTAGGAATAAATTTAACCAATGAAGTAAAACACCTATTGAATAGGATGTGGAGCAAAGGGAACCCTCATGCACAGTTCATGGGAATGCAGTCTGGTGCGGCCACTGCGGAAAACAGTGTGGAGTGTCCTTTAAAATTTAAAAATGGAACCCCTGTTCAACCTAGCAATTCCACTTCTGAGAATATATCTATAGGATCCTGAAACACTAATACAAAAAAATACGAGGTGTGTCCAGAAGGTATCCAGCCACGTAATATGAAAAATGCAGACATTTATTGGAGAAGATACAAGAAACACTGTACATAGGACAATGATGTCTCAGTCCCCTTCAAAGGAGGCACCTTGGGACCTCACACAATTCTCCCAATTATCATCAGCTGCCCCTGTCAAGTTTTCCTGAATCTTATCAACAGTATGAAATCTCTTCCCTTTCAAAAGTGATTTTAGTTTTGAGAAATGCCAGAAGTCACTGGGCACCAAATCTGGGCTGTAGGGGACCTGAGTCACCTGGGTGATTAGAGGTTTTGCCAAAAAACTGCATAAGACATGATGCATGAGCAGGCATTTTGTCATGATGAAACAGCCCATCACCAGTTGCCCATAGCTGCAGCCTTCTGAATCATCCGAATATTTTCCCCTGGGTAATGTTCAAGTTTATGCAAAATTAGATGCAGATCTGTTGCTCTACCACTCAGTCATTTTGAATGTGATGCCCACACAGAACACATGCTCACTCAATGGCATCTACCACCCCCACTGACTAGTACAATGAAGTTGTCATTGTTCACACATGCGCATTCCAGTCTACTCTCCTTGCCTGCCAGTTACATCGATGTTGTGCAAACCATTCTTGTTATACAAACAATGGCTGGACAGACCTCATATATGCACCCCTATGTTCATAGCTTTGCAATTTACAAGAGCCAAGATTTGGAAACAGCCCAACTGGCCCATCAGTAGATGAATGGATACAAAACCTGCGGTGCATCTACACAACGGAATACTATGTGGCTGTAAAGAGGAAGGAAATCTTA